GGGCTGTCGTGATTACAGACCCCGAGGGAGGACAGGGCAGCGTCGAGTCCTGGTAATCAGAATAATCACACACCCACACCATCCCCGTCACCGGTCGGCGATGCACCCGTTGGCAGGGCTCTTATGGAGGCTGCGCTTCAGCAAGCCACTTCCGGATCTCAGCCACCTCTGGTGGTGACACCGCCTGGTTACTGGGTCGACGGTACCGATCATCGACACGCCCTGGACTCGGCTGGCAGGGCGTTACTTCCGGCCCAGCCTGCATGGCAACCGAGGATAGACCAAGACGACACGGCCAAGTGTTACAGGCGATTTTTCGTCGGCAGGGTAACGTATATATATATATATATTACTTCTATAATTTTAAACCGGTTATTTATTTCCGGTTCGTTATTTCCTTTTCGTCAATTTCGTTCGTGGTCGAAGAGAAGAAGAGGGAACGAAAAAGACGAGAAATTATCTACATATACACGGGACGAATTCGTATACGTATAGGTTTCAGCAACGGGGAAAGATACAATGGGATTAAGTTTGCTAAAACTTTGTCAAAAGGTTTCTCGTTTGAAGTATGGGAGGGAGGGGAGAGGAGGAAAAAAATGTATCGCGTTTTTTCTCCGCGAGTAAGTAGTAATAGTTAATTCGACGATGCATCGATCGATGGCAAGGTCAGTTGCTTGGACGTCTCATTATGTCTGCATTACCGAAATACTACCCGTTCAATCCACTTACGGTAAATTGTAATCTCCAATAAATATTACGTAAACATTGTCCGCGCTCGCCTCGTATTTTTCCGTGAAAAATTTCTCGCGTCACGTAACCTACGAAAGGATTCGTAATTGTACCGTTTCGCGTTGTGTACATTGTTGTTACGCTTTTCTAGTAAAAAAAATTAAAGCGAATTCTCTTACAAAGTGAATTCGTACCTTTCAATTACGGAGAGTTAGTTCTCTTTCTCTCTCCATTCTGATTTTACAAAATTGTAATAACTTCGAAAATTGTTCGTTAATTAAACAACGCGACACGAGAATAATGCAAAGTTCAGACTTCCGTAAACCGTGTTTCGCATATAAATTCAGTATATCGGTTATCGATCGGTTGGTTGTGGTAAAGTGTTTGGTCGTGTGTATCGAAGACATACCGATTTTCTTCAAGATTCGTATCGCGAATAAAATTATTTAAAACGTTATCCAACGTAATTTTATTATAAACAATTTTGTAAATATCGAAAATATATATATATATGATAAAAAATATATGTAATTTGCGATTACACAGTAAAGAACGATTAACGCGATAGTAAATTATTACTTAGTATAGTAACTGTTAAAACTGTAAATCCGTGGTAATTGACCGATGTTGAAGGAAAGAATTATAAGATTATAGTCCGCCTTGAGCCGATTAGTCTCTCGAAGAAACAACACGCGTGCAGTTTGAAATAGTAAACGCATGATGATTGTGAACACCACTGTCCGTATCCTTTGGTTAATTACCTCATTGCGACCGAGTTGCAATTTATGAATAAAGATGCTCTTTCTACGTGAACATTGTTCGTGAAACAATGTAGTTTGATTAAAGGAACGAGCTTTAATCTTTAGTAAAAAATGCATATCCAACGGGAAAAATCGAGGCGATAAAATCGTTTATTATTAAGTCTGAAACGGATTTTGATAATTTCCTTCGCGCACGATACGTCGAAATATGTTAAATAAATATGTATCAAGACGTATTCTCGAGACGCGATCCGATTAAAAAATTGTAAAATCTGAAATTTGAAATTCAATGAGTCACGCGCTAATACCATTCGAGATGACATTACGCGATGACATTTTTATCGAAAACAATCGATAAATATACAGTGTCTTTGAAAATGTTTTATCGAAATTATTTCTTTTGTTCCGTTGAATTCTTTTCACAGTTCGTTTAATCGAATTTTTATGCAGTAATTAAGAGATAATTAAGCGAGTTAAAGTTATTTTTTTTAAATAATAATTACGCCAAGATGGTGTCAGAACGTATTATTCATTTATTGAAATGAAATCTATTTATACTTGACAAAAATACAGATGTTAAAGATAAAGCGGAGAAAATAATAACGGTGATCGTTAGGATCCGAGTTATTATTACAAAACTCAAATTTATCTTTATTGGCTGAAGCACACCGTTAATGGGCAAGATACGCATGCGTACTAGAAACCATGATGGCTTTTCGAAGGAATACACAAGAGATGATCGTGGAATAAATTTGCTTTTCTAGACCAAGATAAAAGATCGCGCTATTTAATCGCGTGTTACAATCGTATCCAACGACCCAAGCAGAAATAACCGCATTGGTTACTTGGTAATCAGGCTGTGCGCATTGCATATATACGTTTCGCATATATCGGTGTACGCACGTAGAAGTGACCAAGGTGGATGGAGAAGGAAGACGAGGTGCGGGTCAGAGAGAAAAGGAATGGAGGGGAGGCGCAGGAAAAGGAAAGGAGCACTGTTCGGGCGTGGGAGTGGGAACGTTCTCATAGCTACGAGCAATGCTTATAAGAAGAAACTTCTCCTCCTCTCCTCTTCGACATCCCCGATTTTCATTCTTGCTAGCTTTTAAGATGCCTCCGCTTTTCTTCCATTTGCTCTCGCCATTCCCTCTTCTCTTTCGTTTCTCTTTCTTGGATTATTTAAGGTCGAGATTTAACCGAGATATAACATAGATTTTAATTCCACGCTCAGACTTTGTTTTTAAACATTTTTCAATCGCGCGTTCGTTTTTCATTCCTCTTTGAACGGTTTTCGTTGAAATACGGAGAAAATATCAAAAGGATAAAATATCAAAAGGAATGTGTACATATTCTCTTTCTCTTCGCGTATCAAATGGACCTCCGTGCAACGATCGTCTCTGAGAATATCGGAAATCGCGAATAAACGTTTAACAAGATATAACGAGGTACTAATAAATTGTAATTACCCTTCGGAATATTGAGAATTAATTTTTATGAAGATTTATCCTCCGAGTTACGAAGAAACACGTTTATTTCGATGATAAAGTAAAATGTGCGTTACCAATGGATACATCGAATTTTTTTATCTTAATTGCGATACTTGTTTGCTAAGTTTTATGAATCGAATGTGTTCGTTTTTATTTCTCTTTTTTTTTTTTTTCTCCCCTCCTCGAGTTTTATCGTTATTATCTAAGGATTTTACTCTTTACACATATGTTACCGTATCTCGTTTCGGAAAAACAATCTGTCTTTTAGTTTTTATTTCATTACTTTGTAATTTGTTTTCATTCATATCTCTATAATCTCTATGGCACAAGTAAAGTTTTATGAGATTTCTATGCAATTTAAATTTCTTGAATATTCTTTCCTACAAGCACAATTACAGTTACAAATTGCTTGAGTGGATATAAATGCAATTTTATTCCTGTTAGGCCGTTAACTGGGAAAGACGAGTTTATCCGTTTAACGGATTGCCGACGCTTTAAACATGTTCATTTATTTCCTCCATTTTCTCTTTTTTAATTTATCGTTACGTGCGTAAAGATGGACAGTGTTTTCTTTTTTTTAAAACAAAGTTAGTATATTTATAAATTTTACAAATAATTATAATTATAAAGAGAAAAAGTTTCGTGACTATTAACAAAATTTTATGTAGCTACGAAGAAGAAGAAATTCACGAAAAAAAAAAAATACGAAGCGCTTTCAAGAATTACTTTAAAAACTTTCTTTTCAATTAACCAAGATTATTTTTTGTCTGTTTACCAATTTAACTAGCACGATATGCGTATCATCCGGTTTAATTACATTTAATTAAAAATTGTTTCCCAATTAAATACGTTGCTTCGAATCCAATTTTTTTGACTAAAATCTTTCCATTGATATTTTTCCATTAAATTTCCACTTTCAACCATGTTAATTACACGATGTACGTATATATATATATGTAATAAACAAGTTGATAAAAAAAAAAAAAAAATAAAAGGCGGATGTCAAGAGAATTCGATCGAATATTAAATTAAATCGTGCGAAAAAGAAAAATGCGCATCGATTATTATCATGGTCGTAGATAACGTTATCGGTAATTCTACGCTTATGAATAAAATATCGTTTTTCACGAGTGTTTAATTATAGTTAAATATAACTCGACCTTTCCGAAGTTAGTGCATTTTAATTGTTACTCTCTTGATGATGTCTCTGCAATAAGCAGTTTACGATTATTTTCATCATTCGTATATTACAAACAACTCGCACGGTAAACAAAATTCATAGATAATTACGCGTTTTATATCATCGTTACGTGTATTTTTTTTTTTTTCTTTTTAATATATATTTTTTTGTAACTGAAACTTGACTGACCTCGCGATTGATTACACACGATACGCAATTTCTTTCCTCGCTCCGAATTATCTTATTCTAAAATATAACTAAAAAGCTTAGAATATTTCTCCTCAAAAGAAAGAATATTTTATTCTCTTCTCGTATATAAAGTTTCGTTGAAAATTTTCATTTTCAAATTATCAAAATATTGTTCGAATTTCTCTTTCAACCACTTATTATTATCATTATCATCATTCATTTTTATCCTCATTCGCACCCGGTTCATTCGAAACACGTACACGCTTTTCGCGGAAGCTCTCTCGCAGGAAAAAGGGAAAAAGGAGACGGCGACGACGAATCGATCGCGACTCGTTCGACCTTTCGCGCGCACCCTTTCGAAAATGTTGCGCCTTTCACCACTCGAGGGGCTCGAGGG